AGTGCTGCATTCAACATACCACGTGACACATGTATTTATCTGTTTTTTTAAATATTTACTTTTAAATTAAGAAATTTAGTAATGTATAGTTCTAAAATTTGAATTATAATCAACAGTTTGATACCAAACTTATTGACATAAATACATGAAATAGTAGTTCAATAAAACGAGATGACATGGCCTTTCAACTGTGACCTGTCTTGAAAGGATTAATAGTGCTCTCTTATGTTTAATTATATATATATTGCCTCTAACCAATAAAAAGCGAAGGTTTTCATCTATCAAATGACATATTGTATAACACTGAACAGATATGCTTCAGTTTCACTTATAATACACGGTGGGAAACTTAACAACTAGCTTGGATGATTTTGTAACAGTTCTTGTCGCATAATTTTTTGAGATTTTGAGATTTAGGGGAAATTGTCTACTTTTTGCGTGTTATTAGTCTATGTTCTTTAGTGTATTATTTAATCAAATAAAAATTATTTAGTGCATTGCTACCATTAGTATAAATAAACTAGGGTTAAGTGTCATCGACAATCGACAGCAAGAAAAAGAAGATTAGGGAAGTAATTTATTTCTCGTTTTTCATGTTTATTCTTTATTTATTATTATAAAAGTAATTAAAATGTAAAAATAGGGATCTTTTTAGGTTAGTTAAGATTATATTAGGTAAAATACATAATAACAATATAAGAAAAATGTTTCACGAGACACGAATGCGAGCAGCTCGTAGTAGTTCATGGGTAATGTAATATGATAGCATAATATAATGTTCTCAAATCTCTGTACTCCAAATTCTCAATATTAAATCATCTCAAAGAATCCTTTTGTGAATTTTTTAGACTCCTGATTAAACTACCCTAATCCTCATTTATCATTCTTTTATGGATCAGTCAACAACAAAAAATATTTTGAGTATGATAAAAGCAAGTTAATCAGGTTTATATTTATACCAAGCAATATATGATAAATACAAAACTACTTTCCCAATCTTGAAATTTCCAGTAACTTATCATTCTACCCTACATACACAAAAAAACAATCTCAAATGAATATTTTTATTAACATCATGGATACTGTATTTTATATACGAGTATCCAGTTACTGTGAAAAACAATTCTATCTTTGATTTGAAAGAAACTAATACATAATTTTCACACAAACCAGTATTTGTAGGTACAGATTAACAGTTTCCTTCAGATGATTTTGAAATTTGAAAATAGAGTTCAAGGAAGTGACAAGACATACATAACGAGGTTACTTAGTTAAAAATAATAATAACTGGTCAAAAATGAACTTTCTGAAAATTAGATAGGTGATAGAGAAGAAGCATGAAGTAATAACAATATAGATGATAAAAAAATCTGCATACAAAACTTTTTTTTAATTTTCATCATGTCCAAAGGCAGAAAAAAACCAACTATAAACAATGATGTACTTCAATTTCTAATTATGGTAAATCATTATGTTCTACAGTAAATTTGTAATCTCTAAGAATAATGAAGTAGGCAACCTTATTTCAACATTTATTAAACACAAAAATCAAATTATATGAACTTCAACATGATTCTTCCAAATAGTTAAGCAAAATTTTAGCATAAAATATTTCTGTTGGAAATAAATTAATTTTTCAAGTTTGCAGCTTATCCTATAATAATCATATAATGTAGAATGAGCAGTAAATATCCAAGGTCAAACACTGTAAACTGTGTGTGAAGAGTAAATATCATCAGCTTAACCTACTTGCAAATAAGAATTGTTTAAACATGGTTCAGACAGGTTAAAAAATTCCAGAACTTTCCAAGACCAAGTTTATAATTTATTGTTGTTTAACACTATCAAAATTCAATAACTGATGTTTAATTATATTTAATAAAACAATGAAGTAGCAGCTGTACAAAATATTGTAGCAATAAAAGTAACACCCAAGTTATCAAAAAG